TAGGGAAATGGCAAATCTACGCGTTCGCGAACGGTGAAATGCGAATGCGAAGAAGGAATTACTGGGGCCCTGAATTTTGCTTACGCGATCGCGATGATGGGGACGTGAACACGAAGGAGACCAACCTGAAGCTATGCAAACGCGGGGGAACTAATGCGAACGCGACGAAGAAATCCCTATGTAAAAATTGCAGAAAATCTGATATCATCCTAAGTCCAAAACCACCCCGAACACCTCCGAAAACACTCCCGAGCCCTCGGGGCTCCTAACCAAACCCACACACTAACTCAACAACCTCATACGAACTTAACCTAGCGATCAAATCGCCATAACAACATCAAAATCAATGAATCAAACCCCAAAATCATTATTTTTCATTCTAACTTCATAAACTTCAAATTTTAGATATTTAGGTCCGAAACACGTCAAACGACGTCCGATTTCGACCAAACTTTACAGAAAGCGCTAAACACATATTTAAGACTTGTTCCGGGCGTCGGAACCAACATACGAGCCCGATACCTCAGTCTTTTAATCAATTTTCCTTAAAAATTTTAGAAAAATAATTTCACAGAAAAATTCTTTTTCTCGGGTTCTACACCTCGGATTTCAACTCCGGGCACATGCCCGAGTCCCATATTTTTCTACGGACTCTCCGGGACGTCAAATCACGGGTCCGGGTCCGTTTACCAAAATTGTTGACCGAAGTCAACTTTAATCATATTAATATCAAAATTCTACAAATTTTTCACAGAATTCACATGTTTCAACATAAAAGCTTTCCGGCTACGCGCCCGGACTGCGCACGCAAATCGAGGCAACTAAAAGCGAGGTTTTCAAGGCCTCGGAAGCACGGAAAAAGAGAGAAAACCGGTGATGACCCTTTGGGTCGTCACACGATGCCGCAAAAATCCTTCAGGCGTGGAGATTGTGCAATAGTGGATCAAATGATTTTGCTGTATCCAATCAGTATATGTTAGCTTTGAACTATCGGATACATTGACGAGGGAATAGCTTCAAGTAATTAAATATAATATGAATGATTTTAGATTAATTTGCTTATTGTATGTGTTTATTAAGTTAGTTTCATCAGTCAGTGTTTTGATTGTCATGAAAACAAATCAACTTTTGGAGCGCTGTCTATTGCCTCAAGATAATTGATTAATTAACTTATTTAGATAGTTAAAAGTAGAATCTAGTAGATTTCATAATCCAAATCAAACATGTATTAATACTCGTTCTCTACGATCTCAAAATGACAATTAATGATCGAAAAAAGTCAAAATTACCCATATCGTTTGATTAAAGTTAATATTTACCTTCCGTCCATATTGATCTAAAAATACATACGACATTATTTTTAAACCTAAAGCTACCACATTTTAATGGTGCGGCATGTGGGCCACAAATTGATGCGTTATCACTTTTTAACTGGGCCACGCGGCTCCTTTGTCTAACCAAATTTGAGTATAATATTCGCCCCATTAACCGACTTCGACCTTGTTTTTTGTTACCCGTGTTAAAAATAACCCTTAACCCCACCAACCAAACTCCTCTCTTACCATTTCTCTTCTCGTTTGGTTTGAGGTGGTTGAGATGGCAATTTTACGTAAAAAATTATACGGGACAACCACTTTGTGTAGTGATGTTTATCCTGTACCCACTTTTCAAACTGTTTTGCAGCTATATCCGTTTTTGTTTTAAACAGAATTTAATAGACCTTTTTGTCCTTCAAACCCATCCTACATCATCTTGCTTCTCGTCATGCATAACCAACGTGTGCAGCGTATGAAAATATTTTTGATTTCATATTTAGAGGTATAAGAATTTGATATAACTAGGTGGCGAGATTTGGAAATACATTGCCTTAACGATCAAAAATATTGATGGTTTAGACTTATTTTTTGAATTAAAAGTATTAAAGAAAGATAAAACAAGTAAAAGATAATACTCTTATCAATATACTCAATTATAATAAAAGACTTGCTTCTTTTCTAAATGCCTATATTATTTATATAATAATGTTAATCATAAAGAGGTAAAATGGATTAATTTTTTTTTTTTAAAGAAAAAACTACTTAAGGCCACTCATTAGGCCACGATTTTGTTGAGCCGCCTCTGCGCCGCGTGAACTTGCCTTTTCATAGCAAACTAAGTTTTATGAAACTTATCTTTCAGCTGTAGCTAGTAGGATGCTTCTGTAAATATTGTCAAACTATACTGCTTCCTTAAATAAATGCATAGTTCTCTCTATCGAAGAGTTAAAGGGGAAAAAATGAAGAAAAGATGTGGACGTAAGATGTTAACTTTATAAAAAAATGTGTAATTGACTTGTTGCGTTGCTAAACATTCAGATTCGAGTGTCTGAAATTTGCACAGCTGTAAGTGAACTTCAGATGACAATGAATTAATTTTTGTTCTTTTTTTTGGTTAGAAAATACTTTTTTTCTTAATGCTACAGGAATTCTGCTGTGTTTTGTTCGTTTTATGCGATTGAACTTGAAAGGATCCGACGATATATGGATGGTAACGAAGCAAACAGCTTCACAGTAGTTTAGGGGTATTTTTGTCTATACAATTTTTACTTACTATAAACTGGGTAAACATTAAATAATTTTTAAGAACTAGGTATAAGTTAAACAGTGTCAGTAAAATAGGGTGTCTGTGCAATTTGCCCCAATTTTAGTGTTCTAGTAAGGTTAGTTGGTCGCTTTGATTTGGTGGACGAAACTGAAGAATCTTTCATTTTTAGTATTATCTTGCAATCTTTCTTCTATTAATGTAAGTGTTTACAACTTTAAGTTTAAAAATTATAGGGTTTGTTAATATTTGGGAACCTGCAACTATTGTCTCTTTCTTGGGGTTTAATAAGTTATCTGATTTATTTTCTGTACATTTGTAGATTTGTATTACACTCTTGTTTGTGGTTGTCCATGTCCTCTTTGTCCGATATGTAACAACTATGAGTTTTTTGTGATTTGTATATTTGTTATTAGGGGTTTCATTTTTTCTTTACTGCTTGATATATCTAGACATGCCTTAGGATACCGTTCATGTGATCCCTTATTCACTTATTTTTTGTTGTTGCATGTGGATGTATCTAAAGAATGATGATAAAGTGAACTTATATTTTAATCATGGGGATGTTTGGAAATTGATACCTAAGCTATATCTTATTCTAAAAGAGATGTGCACGTGTTGAGTACGTATGAAATAAACCATCTTTTTAACATTGATTTATGTAGAGAATTCTGAGATACTACGAGTAGAAAATTAGGTAAAAAATCATATAAATCAGTGAGAGAATCAGATCCAATGATTTCCATTTGAGATTCTAAAAGATTACCTCTTGATTGGTATTGCAATAATCTTGGTTGAAAGGATTTTGTGGATCTTGGTTTTTATTGCATTTGATTTTAATAATAAGAAGATTCTAGTATTAGGGGTGGCCAATAAGTAACACTTTAGAACTCATTGTAAATTATCTTGAAGAGAATAACAATTTTCTCCTTACGATTACTAGACACTTGTTTCTTTCGGTTGGCTTTGTCGTGAGCAAGATTTCTTTGATAAGGCTATTCGTGAAATAGTCTTCTATTCATCTAATTGTTTTCTTGTTTATTCGTCCTACATTATTTCTGGTATCTGAGCCCGGGTTCAACGGGACGGGTATGATAATGATAAAGTAATGGTGCGAGACTCGATTTGGATACTCTCATACAATAAGAAGCTAGTTGTGGCTTCGGCCGCCATAAATATTCTAACAATGTGAGTGGCACACAGTGAATTTAAAATATTGACTTGTTGATTGTGGCAATGGGACACATGGAACTTAGTTCAAGGGGAAGAACCGTGAATCGTGATAGAGAGCCACGAAGAACTTATTTTGAGTGAGAGATTGTTGGGTACTGTGCCAACAAAGTCCACATTGGTAGTTGAATAGAGTAAATTCTTCGACTATATGGGAGATTTCCCGTGAGGGGAAGCGAATAGGGGTCAAAACTAGGTAGCCCTACACGGAAATAAAAGGGGTGGCCAAACGATTNGTCCAAGAAACAAGCCACTATTGCTCTATCTTCTGCTGAAGCAGAATACAGAGTCCCTCGTACATTGGTTGCTTGAAATTGTTTGGATTGTTTAGATTACTTGGAGAGTTTTCGGGGTCTCTTCTCTGTCTCCTGTTCCTGTTTTTTGTGATAATCATTCTGCCATACATTCTCGAAATCCTGTATTTCATGAACGCACCAAGCACATTGAAATAGATTGTCACTTTGTGCCTGAGCAGCTTCACTCTGGTCTCATCAGTCTGCATGCTATTTCTTCTACTTCTCAATTGGCTGATGTGTTTACTAAGTCTTTGCCAGGGGTTCAACATTGTACTTTCCTGTCCAAGCTTGGCCTGGTTCCCCATTCCAGCTTGCGGGGGGGTGTTGAAGTTACAAATGGTTCAGCGGCCCAACACAAAGCTGAAGGCCCAACTTGAACTACTCAGTTGTACATATAAGTTAACTTACATGTGTAGCCACTTTCTTTGATAGAGATAGCCATTCTTTATTAGTGATATACAAAGTATATAGTTCGAGAAGATTTAGACTTTTTCTCTGTAATGAACATATCAGAAAATATCAGAAAGAAGACTTCATCTTTCTCTCTCTCTCTTCATGAATAGGGTTCATCCCTTTATTTCCTCAAATTACTTCGATCCTTGCGCTAACATGGTATCAGAGCCCGGATTTGGGTGAATCGGAGCATCGTCCGTCGTCCGATGTTACCCTTGACGGACAATTTTAAAGTTTTTTTTTTGGTTTCCCAGTGTAGAATTTGGTAACATTTGTGGTTGTTACCTATAAACTCTTAGTTCTACAAATTTAAAGGTTTTGCTCCTTCGATTTGCTGGAGAAAGCTGCTGATTTGGTAGAGAAGGCTGGTATTTTTTTCAATTTTGCTATCAATTTTTGTTGTTCAATTTGAATTTGAAACCCTAGTTTCTTAAATCTGCTATGGCTCCATCAGAAACCTCATCTGATACTTCTACTTCTACCTTACCTAATAATTCGATTACTGTTGAGCCCTCAAACCCACTGTACCTCTATCCTACTGACAACCCTGGTACTGTCATTGTTGCCGATCGATTCAACGGTATGGGATATGGAAGTTGGAGAAGGGGAATGTTGATCGGTTTGTCATGTAAGAATAAGCTCGGCATAATCAATGGGACTATTTCCAAACCTAATGCTACATCTCCATTCTATGAGCCTTGGTGTCGATGTAACGACATGGTAATTGCTTGGATACTGAACAGTTTGGAAGCTGAAATTAGGGAAAGTGTTATGTATACAGAGTCAGCTGCAAAGCTATGGAAGGACATTGAGAAACGATATGGACAGCCCAATGGCAGCAAAGTGTATCAGATCCGTAAGGCTCTATCATCTATTTCTCAAGGAGCTTCGAACATTGCTTCCTATTTTTCCAGAACTAAGAAGTTGTGGGATGAGCTAGCATATTCCATAACATATCCTGATTGTGTGTGTGGATGTAAAGAGGCTTTCCAAAAATTGGAAGAAGATCAGAAGCTTCACCAGTTCCTTATTGGTTTGAACGACAATTATTCCACCATCAGGAGGAACATTCTGGCCATGAAACCTCTTCTAGACATAGACACTGCGTATGCTATGCTGGTTAATGATGAAAGTCAATGTGAGGCACAAGCTTTAGTCCCATCTTTCTCTTCCGAGTCTGCTTCTTTCTCCACTGGTGTTCAGAAACCATATACTGGTTCTTCCCCTGTTGGCATGCAGAAAACCTATTCACAAAAGGTTAATTTCGATTCTAAAAGGGCAAGTGTCATATGCAAGTACTGCAAAAAGCCTGGCCACACCATAGAAAAATGTTACAAACTTCATGGGTATCCCAACACTTTTCAGAACTCCGTCCAGTCCAATAGGTTTAAGAAGCCCGCTGGTTATGCTCATGTTTCAGAGGCTCAGAGTCTGGGACCAACAGATGGGTGTACTTCTGATAATAGGATTGAACATTATGATTCTCAGAACCATGGTTTCACAAAGGAACAGTATGAACACTTGCTGAACATGTTTCATCAGTCCAAGGTCTCTCATGATGCTACTGCCTCTGGATCTGCCTACTTTGCAGGTTTGCTACATTGTGTTGATACTAGAAATTATTGTGTGTTTGCTTGCAAGCTTTCTCGCTTAGTTGGTAATCCTTGGATAATAGATTCCGGTGCTACAAATCATATGACTCCTAAAAAAATCTCTCTTAATAAATATTAAACCACTAGCAATCCCTTACCTTGTCATCCTTCCCAATGGTTATAGAGTGAAGGTAACTTGTTCTGGCACACTTCCTTTATCTAATGACTTGATTTTGGAAAATGTTTTACTTGTACCTTCTTTCCACTACAATTTAGTTTCCCTACATCAGCTCTTGTTACAACTTCGTTGTAATGCTTTGTTTTCTCCCTACGATTGTATCTTACAGGGCCTTTCTCTGAAGAGGCCACTGGTTCTTGGTAAAATTTCAAATGGACTTTATCTGCTACAATCCACTCCTACCTCAATTTCTGCTACTTCAATTGGTAAAGCTGTCAGTGCTAAGACTGCTGACTCTATTGCTTCTTCATCTTGTTTTGCTCCTGTCAACATTGTAAATACCATTGATGCTAATACGACTGCTTCTACTTCTGTGCCTTCTACAAATGATTATGTACCTAACAACACTGTAGATACCATTGATGCTAATAAAACTGTTTCTACTTCTGTGCCTTCTACAAATGATTCTGTTCCTGTTTTTTGTTTTGATATGTTTTGGCATCTTCGACTTGGTCACATGACTTTCCATAAGATGAAGTCTGTTACTCGTATTAAGGATAAACTATCTAAGAAACAGTCTTTTGTTTGTGAAGTTTGTCCAATGGCTAGGCAGCAAAGACTTCCCTTCCCTGAAAGTTCCATTAAGACTACCAAGCCTTTTCAACTTATTCATGTGGATTTACGGGGTCCTTACCACACACTAACTTACAATGGTTTTAGGTATTTTTTGACCATTGTAGATGACTTTACTAGGGCTACTTGGACTCATCTGTTGTCTACCAAGTCTAATGCTTTTACTTTGTTAAAATCCTTCATATTTCTAGTCCAAAATCAGTTCCATTCATCTGTCAAGACTCTCAGGTCTGATAATGCTTTTGAGTTAGGATCCAGTGCTGAAGCCACCTCATTCTTCTCTAATTAGGGAATCATTCACCAAACTTCATGTCCACATACTCCTCAACAGAATGGAGTTGTGGAAAGGAAACACAAACATTTGTTAGAAACAGCTAGATCCTTACTTTTTCAGTCTAAACTTCCTACTAAAATATTGGGGGGAATGTGTACTTACTGCCACTTATTTGATCAATATGTTTCCTTCACCTCTTTTAAATCATAAAACACCCTTTGAGTCTACTTTTTTGGTATTCCTCCTATATACTCACACCTTAGAGTTTTTGGTTGTCTATGCTTTGCTGCTGTGCCTAAGCCACATAGGGATAAATTTCATTCAAGGACTATTTCTTGTGTGTTTCTTGGATATAGCATGACTAAAAAGGCCTTTAAGTTATTGAATCTGACCAAACACAATGTTTTCTTTTCTAGAGATGTTCAATTTCATGAGTCTATATTTCCCTATTCTTCTCCCTCTCCTACTTGCCTTTTCCCTTCTATTACGCATATATATGCTGATTTCTCTGTTCCCTCTCCTCAAGCTCCCTCTCCTCAAGCTACTTTTGCTCCAGTTTCTGCTTCTACCACTTCTTCCTTTGTTCCTGTTGTTCCTGTACCTTTGAGGAGGTCATCTAGACCTACCAATCCCCCATCTTTTCTCAAAGATTATGTTTGTACCAATGTTTCTGTTTCTAAGGATACTACCTTTGTTCCTGAAGGTTGCTTGCCTGAACCACAATTCTATCATCAGGCAGTTTCTAACCCTACCTGGCAGGATGCTATAATGAAAGAGATTCAAGCATTGGAGGCTAATAATACCTGGACGATTGTCCCTTTGCCTCCGGGTAAGAAAGCTATATCTTCTAAGTGGGTTTATAAGATCAAACAGAGAGCCGATGGTAGTATCGAGAGATATAAAGCTAGGTTGGTCATAAGGGGGGACACCCAATAGGAAGGTATAGATTTCACTGAAACTTTTCCCCAGTTGTGAAACTCACCACCATTAAGTGTATGTTTAGTGTTGCTGTTAAGAGACACTGGCCTATTTTCCAACCGGATGTCAATAATGCATTTTTGCATGGTGATTTAAAGGAGGAGGTATATATGAAAATTCCTCTTGGGTTGCAAGTTTCTGCTTCTTCTTCCACTCTAGTTTGTAAGCTTAACAAGTCTCTTTATGGACTTAGACAAGCTTCCCGGCAGTGGTATGCCAAGCTGTCCACCGCCTTGCAATCTAGAGGTTATGTTTCTAGCAAAAATGATTATTCCTTGTTTGTTAAAGAGTGTGGGTCTTCTCTTACCATTGTAGCCGTATATGTGGATGACATTCTTTTAACTGGTGATGATCTGTCTGCAATACAAGCCTTAAAACAATTTCTGGATGAGCAATTCAAAATTAATGACCTAGGGGAGGCTCATTACTTCCTGGGACTACAGATCATCAAGCAGCCTCAAGGTCTCCTTGTCACTCAACAAAAGTTTCTCTTGGATTTACTTGCTGACTTCAATTGTCTTCATGTTACTTCTGTGGTCTCTCCTTTGGATGCTCATTTCAAACTCTCTGCTGATTCTGGTGATATTCTACCTGACCCTTCTTTGTTCAGAAAGTTAGTTGGGAAATTAAATTTCCTTCAACACACTCGCCTTGACATTTCTTATAGTGTGCAACACCTTAGTCAATTCATGGCACAGCCGAGGGTCCCATATTTTGAGGCAGCTTTGCATGTGTTGCGGTACCTTGTTGGTACACCTGATTTGGGGCTGTTGTTTAATGATTCTCCTTCCTTTGCTTTGACTGGTTATTGTGATTCTGATTGGGCAAGTTGCTCTAATTCACGGAAGTCCGTCAGTGGCTATGTTTTATTATTAGGCGGGTGTCCTCTATCCTGGAAGTCCAAGAAACAAGCCACTATTGCTCTATCTTCTGCTGAAGCAGAATACAGAGCCCTCCGACAATTGGTTGCTGAAATTGTTTGGATTGTTAGATTACTTGGAGAGTTTGGGGTCTCTTCTCTGTCTCCTGTTCCTGTTTTATGTGATAATCATTCTGCCATACATATTTCTCGAAATCCTGTATTTCATGAACGCACCAAGCACATTGAAATAGATTGTCACTTTGTGCCTGAGCAGCTTCACTCTGGTCTCATCAGTCTGCATGCTATTTCTTCTACTTCTCAATTGGCTGATGTGTTTACTAAGTCTTTGCCAGGGGTTCAACATTGTACTTTCCTGTCCAAGCTTGGCCTGGTTTCCCATTCCAGCTTGCGGGGGGGTGTTGAAGTTACAAATGGTTCAGCGGCCCAACACAAAGCTGAAGGCCCAACTTGAACTACTCAGTTGTACATATAAGTTAACTTACATGTGTAGCCACTTTCTTTGATAGAGATAGCCATTCTTTATTAGTGATATACAAAGTATATAGTTCTAGAAGATTTAGATTTTTTATCTGTAATGAACATATTAGAAAATATCAGAAAGAAGACTTCATCTTTCTCTCTCTCTTCGTGAATAGGGTTCATCCCTTTATTTTCTCAAATTACTTCGATCCTTGCGCGTAACAGAAAGGGTCAAGTTCGTACTTGGTATCTAATGAAGAAACTGCTCAAGGGCCGATTTTCGCCCCCAGATTATGAGCAATATTTTTTCCTGCAATATCAACAGTGCAGCCAAGGTGACAGATCTGTACATGATTATACTACTAAATTCACGAGGCTTGCTAAATGCAACAATCTGATAGAGTTTGATAACCAACAAGTAGCTAGTTATATTAATCGATTAAAGCCCGCAATCCAAGAAAGGATTGGTGTACAGATGTTGGCAAATGTTGCTGTAGAACGAAATATGGCATTCAAGGCTGAGCTGATGATGCAAGAGAAGAATAAGATTGGAGCAGGAGGAATCACTTTACGTCCGCACCAATGTTTGTTGACCAGGATGCTCCCGCCTATAATTCCCAGAAACAAGCAGAAAAATTTGCTAATGATAGAGCTGCTGGGAAAAGACCAGTGAATGGTGCACACAAGCAAACACAAGTGAATCCATATGCTAGACCAACTACTGGAAAGTTCTACGGTTGTCATCAAACTGGGCATAACTCTAGTGATTGTCCACAGAGGAAGGAAATCAACATAATAGAGCGAGGAGAACATATAGAAGATGGTGAAGAATTCATATGTAGGCCTGATTGTGACAATGATGGCCAGGATTTTGATGAAAGACAGATCTATGTAGTTCAAAATACGATGCTAGTCCCAAAGAAGGAAGAGATGACTCAGCGCCACTTACTCTTTCACACTAGGTGTACAATCAACGACAACAGTTGTAACTTTATAATTGATGGTGGTAGTAAAAAGATTATCACTGGAAAGAGTATAGATGCTACAATTACCAGTGGAGAAGCATCCAAATCCTTACAACATTGGATGGATCAAAACAGTAGGAAATATCCAAGTAACAGAAAGATGCATATTTTCTTTCTCAAACTACAAAGATGAAGTGTACTGCAACGTGGTAGACATAGATGCATGTCACCTGTTATTTGGTAGGCTAGAAGTTTGACAAGGATGCTCACCATTTTGTATGAATGGTGTCGGCAATGAGGAATATTAAAGAAGATAGGTTCCCGAAACCTATCCTTTCGGATTCTACCCAAAGAGCTCCTAATCTATAGTGTGAATTCCACGGGACTCACGGCCATAGGACTGGGGACTACCGACATCTTCGAGAAGAAGTGGCAATGTTGCGTAAGAGTGGTAACCATAGAGAGTTCTTAAGAGACAGCGCCAAAAACAACTACGGGAGAAACCACATAATGTAGAGCCATCAAAACCGGTAGCAGGGTCACCCAGCATGACATTCAACATTATTTTCGGAGGAAATGAAGCCAATGGGGTGACAATTTTGGCAGCAAAGAAGATGATGATATCATTGACTCATGGCAAGAGGATCCAAGAAATCTCAGAGGATGACATCACCTTCACTGAGGAAGATGCTGACGGACTTCTTCTACCGCACAATGATGCTCTTGTAATTTCTCTTAATGTTTTAGGTTTCAAAATTAACCATGTTTTTGTTGATCGAAGAAGTTCAGCCAACATCATACAATGGAGAGTCCTGGAGCAAGCGAAGTTAATCAGAAACATAATTCCGTCAACAAAGCTCCTAGCTGGCGTCAATCTAACAAGTGTGACAACCCGAGGAGAAATTGTGTTGTCACCCATGTCGAAGGTGTAACAAAGGCTACCCTGTTCAAAGTGGTATATGGTGACATGGGTTATAATCTAATCCTCGGGAGGCCGTGGATACATGAAATGAAGTCCGTGCCTTCAACCTACCATCAACTGTTGAAGTTTCCGACACTATAAGGGATTAAGCAGATCAAAAGTGATCAACCGACTGCAAGGGAGATGAATGCAGTAACAGTTTCCAGTAGCAGTGGCAAAGAAACCAGCAAATACTTATTATAGGAACCGATGCCTTCTGCCTTTCCAATTGAAGATGATAAAGACGAGGAGTCATCAGAATTATATTAGGTGCCGAGGTATTTTCAGGTATTCTCAGGTTAAAAATTATAGATTTTCTTAAATCTAAAGTTGATTGCTTTGCTTTGCCGCATTCATATATGACATGTATTCCATTGGAGATGGCGGTCCACAAATTGAGTCTGTATCCAAACTTGCCTTCGGTAAGGCAGAAGCAATGACCGATAGTAGAGGTTAGAAACAGGTTTGTTAAGGAAAAGGTAACCCAATTACTTAACATCAATTCAATTTGAGAGGTAAAGTAATCGGATTGACTAGCTATCATAGTAGTAGTGCTTAAGAAGAATAACGAATTCAGGTGTGCGTAGACTATAAGGATTTGAATAAATCGTGCCCATAAGACTCTTTCCCATTCCCAAACATTGATCAAATGATTGGTGCTATGGCCGTGAATGAGTTTTCTTGATGCCGAGTCTCGAAATACTTTAGTAGTTAACGAAGATTGCACTAGTAGTTGAGGAAGATTGCTCTAGTAGTTCAGGAAGAATTT